CCACTGTGCCCAAGCTCGAGATTGGCCAGCCAGACAGTGTGAGGCCACGGCTGCCAGTCTGAGGAAAAGGACAGAGAGACTCAGGGCTGGGGGGTCAGGGGTGATGCATCGTCTGGAAGTCTTCCTGGATGAATAGGTCCTTGGACTGGCTTGAATTGAGTGAGCAGAAAGAGGTGGGAACGAACGGGTCTCAGCCAGAAGGCCTGGGTTCTAAGAGGCTTTGGTCTCTCCAAGGCTGGCCCTGAGGGAGCCCCCATCAAGAAGAAGCGCCCCCCTGTGAAGGAGGAGGACCTGAAGGGGGCCCGAGGGAACCTGACCAAGAACCAGGCGATCAAGTCCAAGACCTACCAGGTCATGCAGGAGTGTGGTGAGTGTTCTCAGGGGACTGGGGGCCAAGGGGGTGCAGATGTGTGTCAGTAGGAGGGGGTGAGCTGGGGGCTCCTAGGGGTCTTTTCTCAGAGTCCAGAGCTCAGGGGCTCCCCACAAAAGAGGCTTTCCGTCGCCAGGAGCTTGGGCTGGGCCTCTGACCTCCCCATCCTGCCCGCAGAGCAAGCCGGCATTGCCTCACCATCTGTGTTCAGCCGCACGCGGACCGGCACTGAGACCGTCTTTGATAAGCCGAAAGCTGGGCCTGCCAAGAGTGTCTTTGGCTGAGAAGTACACGCCACACCACCCCCTGGGCACTGACAACACCTAGACACAGGAGTCTTTCCCAAGAACTCTTTCATGCCAGCACTCCCCTGCTCCCCTGTTGCCTCCGGGACTGCCACCCCTCCCCCTGGCCCCTGGCCTCTCAGCCCAGGCCCTCTGCGCCAGGCCCTGGGAAACACCAATAAAGAGGATGCCCAAGTGGCCCCGGCATTTGGAGAGTGTCCTTGGGAACTGGCATGGGCCCTGCGTGCGGGTGGGTGTGGTCTGTACCCCCCATGTCTTTGGGAGGGTCCTTATGATCATGAGGTGCTATAGCCACTGCCCCATCCTAGCAAGAGCCGGGGGTGTGGGGATCTGGTGCTGATCTGTGTGACTTCAGACCATCTCCCTTCTTCTGAGGCTGTTTCCCCTTGTATGTGACAAGGGAGGTGAGCTGAGGCCCAGTGCACAAAACAGGCCACGTGTACCGAGTGAAGCAGGTGGGGCCTGGGCTGCCCCTCCCCCTGCCTTCCACAGAAGCCAGCGCAATGCTCCTCAGGACCCCAAGGCTCCGCAAGAGCCAGGGACCTTGAGGGCCGCCTCCCCCTGCGCCCTTGTTCTGCCTCCTCACCATCTTGCATCTCTCACAGACAAAGCCACGCCAAGGCTCCTGTGGCCAGTGGCCGCCTGCCTGCTG